CCCCAAAACCCCAAAACCCCAAAACCCCAAAACCCCGAGGAGATGGGAATTTTTAAAATAAATTAACAATGAGATTTAGGCTAACTGCCTGGGTGACTGTTATTCTTGTCATTATGACAGCTGTCAAAATGGCTATGGCTGATACAAGAGATACAGTGTATATATCATCTCTTATAACGCAAGGGGCGAGAACTCCCCTTTTCACAGCTGATCCTGAATACCAGGTAACTGGAGTTAGCTTTGATCAAGGCCCAGGGAAAATTACTGTTACAGGGGAGAGAAGTCTTGCCTCTCGAGGGGCTCAGGCTAAGAACGATTATGGGAATGGCAAGTTCTTTGAGACAAATTATATCCCTGACGATATTTTTGTCAGGACTATTAATGACCAAAAATCAATAATTAGTGCATACTCTTATCTGTTAGGCTGATATCCTGATTCTGTTAACGGATTATCACTTGAATCAGATATTGAAGAAATCAAATCTGTTCCAGTGACAAATTACGATGTTGATAATGTCAGGCCTAATCTTAACCTTGGAAATCCCCGTGGTGAGACTGCTCAAGCAAGGATCCACCCTGGAAACCCAGATGCTTTGTTCCTAACTCAACTAGGAAGAACTTATCCAGGACAGAAAGAAAAGATTGATCAGCAATTGTTTGAAGCAAAGAGGGAATATGAGCAAACTCATGGGACAAGGTTCTATGAGAACTTTGCTCGAGCCATTCATAAGCCAGTCGGTAATATGAACTTCTACTCAATCCACAAGTATGCAGATGATGTAATCGCAGCAGAAGCTAACGGTGAATTCTCAGCAGTCAACCTTTCTGATGACTTACATAATCAGTTGGATGTTTATTTTGGGCATTATTTTGGAAATGGACTGTTCAGAGATTATGCATTAACCAGAGCTTTCTCTCATACCTACCTCTCCAGCATGGTTCATGAGCTACAGCTGAAGATGCAGGATGACCAGACAGGGGAATTTAGAGGAGATCTGGCTCATAATGCGAAACAATCTGTGTATTTAGGCAACCATCTTACCTTGATTTCGGCACTGCATCTATTCAATGAAGTTGAGAGCTACAGAGTTGATTTTAACGATGAGCTGAGATTCCAGTTATTTCAAAAAGACGGCCGATATTTAGTCAGAAGTTTACTCAATGATAAACCTCTTAGGCTCGAAGGAGTAGCCAATTCACAAGGAGAGATTGAATGGTCAGCTTTCAGAGACTACATCTGCTCAAAATTATACTTTGGAAATGTTGACAGTGTGAGGGATGGTACTGAAAACCCTCAAGAATTCATGCACCTAAAGGAATCTTGTGATAGCTTTATATCCAAAGGTTACTACAGAAATGATAAAGTACTTTTGGAGCTAACTGAGGCTCCTGAATATCTTCCTGATGAGCCAACTTCTGTTCCAAGAGAGCAGGTCATTCAGCATCAAGCATCCGGGAACTCGATTCTCACTAATAATTTTGATGATGGAGTCAGAAGACAATCAGTTGACATTAACGTTGGACTTACTAATCAGAGGGTAGATTATGCTTGGAATAAACCAATCAAGTTCAGACAGACACAATGGGAAGAAATATCCTTCCCAATGAAGGAAGAGTTCTCCTTTGGAACTTTGACCAAACAAGAAGTGGGTTTAAACCAATACAGAAAAGTTAAGATAGCAAAAACTGTTAACGAAGAGATTACTCTACCAGAGAGACATACCTTCAACTTTGGGTCTGAACTACTCAAGACAAGGGAAGTTCTGTTCAATAGTGTAAACTTCTTAAGACTACCAGAAATTAACGAGCATAAGCTATTTTTGGCTGATAGGCACAAGTTCAGCCTCGACAAAAATCCTAGGCTGAGCACTAAAAGGTTGAGCTTTAACTATGTAAGGAAGTTGCAGATTCCTCAGACAACGAAATCCCCATTTGCTCTCCCACAAAGACATGTGTTTGATTATTCAGATCTTACTGGTAGCAATAAGGAGGTGCACTTTGATCATATTAAAAAGATCAAAGTGAAGCAAGCTGAGACTTATAATATAAATTTAAAGAATTTTAACTTTGATAGGTTGGACAAAATCAAAGCACAACATGGAAGACATTCAGCTGTGATAGAAACCCAAGCAGGGAGCGACCCACTTATGAAAATTAGCACGACTGGGCAGAGGGATGAAGCACATAAGGTAAATCTTGGAGGAAATATCCATAAGAAGCCAGATTATGTAGCTCCGATAAGAATCAAGCAAGAATATGATCCTTATACAATTTCTTTTACTGAAATTGGGCCTGTGAAATCTTATCATAGAGAACTCGAAGAGACTGAGTTTATCTCTGAGTACCCTCACGATTCTTCTAAATCAGGCAGGAATTATCCCTCGTACAGCTCATCATCAGTTGGTCCTTTTAGAGATAGAGAGTCTTCTCAGGACTTTGATTGGGGGTTCTAGCATTAATTAATAGTTTCAATTTTTGTAAAAATTGAGGGGTTTTGGGGTTTTGGGGTTTTGGGGTTTTGGGG